GCATTTAGTAGGAGCACTCTGAAATATCTGCTACAACATTGCTGCCAGCAGCAAAATACTGTATTGTATGATTAAAAAAAAGAAGAAAAGAAATACCTCTGCTTTTTATTTTCTTAATCTTTCTCTCATAATTTCTTTTTACGTCTTGCCTTGTTTTCTGTACTGTAGGGGTGTTATCTTTTGTCCCTCTTTTAAAACCCACCGAAATATTGTGACATTTGTGCAACATAACATCTAATTAAGCAACCTCAGCATAACAATAAGCCATGGTATAACCCTTTAAAGAACTGTTCTGCTGGCTCCATTAAGGAATGCTCAGCAGGGTAGAAATAGCACATCAATATGTAAGGGCACCAATGCAGATAAACAGTGAAACAAAAAAGGCACTTGAGTATGCTCAGCAATTTCAGCCCCTGCACCACAGGACAATGTAAGATGTATTTTTCATTCTGAGAATATATTCACTATTACCATATACCAATACTACCATGGTTAAGCATGGCAAAGGGAAAGCACAGACAAATATAAAAACAAAAAATAAAAAACTTTTCAATAGATTATGTGACATGATGTTGAATTAATGCTGAAATGGAATGTTAATGTAAAGTATTATTTTAACACAAAATATAATGAACGTCTTCTTGATCTGATACTGCTGCATTTCAATGATAGATTTTTAAAACAAGAATGAAAAGTACCTTTGAAGATGAGATTTAATGAAGGGTTGGCAATTTGAGAAATAAAATTAATTTCTTCCACAGTTTAGTTTAATCTAATCAAATAATACATTTCTCAATCACAATGCACATAAATAAATATTGCTGTAAATATGTTAGAATTAGCCAACAGGCTAGTTATCATCTGTAGTCCCTGGCCAGTTGTAAAAGTCGGCAGCCTGAAGTCAGTATAAAATCATGAAACAAGTTAGATGAGAAGATCAATAGCCAGGAGAGGGTTAGCATAGTGAAGTGAACCAAATTACAATTTAGGGTGTTATGTGTGGGAAAGGTTCTTGGCTGGGCACATGGACATTCTAGTCATCACCAGGCAACCAATGGAGACTCCAGGAAGTCAAGGCACTGGGCAAGAAATAGTCCACCATGTATTAGTGAGCTTTAGCAGTACTTCCAGGCAGATTTTTTATAACATTTTGACTCTCATCTTTATGCTAAACAAAGCTTCTTGACTATAACTTCATAAGCATAGACAATGGTTTTCTCATCTAACTCTCAGCAATAAAGCTAAAAAGCATATTTTCAAAATGTCAAACTATTCCTTCAAAGTCCAAAGTACTTGCATAACATATTCTTTGGATGACTTCTGCACATTGAATGGATCATAAAAATTAGATTGCTGCTATTGATTTCAGAAAAAGGCACAAAATCTTTGTGTCCTTTTTTAAATCTTATGCTGTGCATGACCACTCCTCCATTAGGAGCCATTGATCATTAGAAGTGAGCATGCTGGACCCAGTCTGTGAGAATCAAAGTGCTCGGGGGTGAAAAGCACTTGGCAGACACCCAGAAATTATCTCACAGTCACCCCTGTGGAAGCCAAGATGCCACAATACTGCCGACCAGCTTCCTGTCAAGGAGAGGAATAATGCAAACTTTCTCTCTTTTCATCTGAAATGCTGATGAAGAGACTAGCGCACCCGGCATTTCTGCATTGCATATAATACAGTCTCCTTTTTCATTGTCAAAGCCCTTTCAGTTAGCAGCTGATGATAGTGCAGCTTCCATATTTATCAGCTTTTAAACATTGGTTATTGGATTGCTCCTAATGCCTTGAATGTACACCTCCCAGCAGCATCCAAGTTCCTGTCGTTAGTTTGTGAGAAAAAAAAAAGGTACACAGAGAGATGATGATTAACTCTCAAAAATAACCACTGAACCCAGCACCGGAATACTTTGTCTCTTTTTATTCCGGTGCTGCACCCACACCTCCTTCACCCTGCTGGGAAATTCACTGACCTCTGAGGCTTGGATTACCTGGCAGGGCCTGAGAGAGCAGCCCAAGAGCACTTGAGGACAAGACTCGCACTGCTCCCGATCAATGCTTATCGACTTTGCCCTTTTTTTTCTTAGAGTTACATTACAGTAAATGTGTTTGCTTTGCAGTGGTTCAGCAAACTGCAACTGCAAATACCTTGTTCCATAGATTAGGAGGTAAAGCTGAGATGATAGAGGTCCGACAGCTGCCCGGAGTATGACAAAGCAAGTGCCTTTCTTTTATTGCAGCCATAATCATTATGTTTATGTAGTTTAGGTCCTGCTGCAGCACGATGCAACATGACCTGACTTGATGGGACATGACATAATGTGATGGGAAGGGTCAGGGCATAATGGAACGTGATGGGATATACAGCAACATGATGGATATGATACGATAGGGTACGCCATGATCTAACAGGAAGTCACATGACAGGACCCCATCACTATACTCACTGAGCATAGGGAACCCTAAATCTAGTAGAGCTGGTGTAGAAATGTATATTTAGTGTGATTTACCCTCACATCTTAACCCATTTTATGAAACGATTAGACTTTATGTAACATGAAGACTGACTTTGTATTTAAAAAGGAAAAAAATACTAAACAATAAAACTGTTTTGAATTAGTAAATTTAATTGTTTGTTGTAGTTTCAACATGTATCAATAGATTTTTGGATGGACTGCAGCAAAGCAAGGCCAGCAAATCTGTCCCTGCCTCACTGAGTGAGAGTGATCAGTGGAGTATTGGAGTTTCCCCATTGGCTATTGCTCTTTCCAAGCCGCAAGCAGTCATTCTCAGGAGGCTTTTACAGCAGTTTTGGTGCTAACTCTAAATCTATTGCACACTAAGAACGAAATATTCTGCTGGTTCTGGATATTTGTGAAGATTAAAGACTCTTTCAGTGGGTATGTTCTTCCAGCTGTATCTTATGATGCTCAATCAGTAGACAGACTGTGAGATGAGGTTGAAAACTCTAAACCAAAGGATGGTTTTTGTTTTTGTCAAGCTTAAATAAATTTGATAAAGGTTTGAATTTGACGAGCAGATTCAAACTGGATTCATAATACAATCTATCAAACCCCAACCCAGGTTATGGTTTTACTTAGTTTCATGCAAGCAGTGTTGCCACAGTTACTTTGAAAAAGTAATCTGTTTACTAATTGGTGATTACTGCTTTAAAAAGTAACTTAGTTACTTTACAGATTACTTGATTTTAAAAGTAACTAAGTTAGATTACAAGTTACTTTATTAGTTACATTCAGCAGGTGCTGACAACAACCCCGCCGTCTCAACATAAAAATGACAACCGGTTTTGCCAACACTCACTTTATTGGAAGTGCATTTTTAACAGTAACATCAACAATGTATTTCCTGACATTTTAAATTGAACTTAAAAACTGTTTCCTGAAAGAAATACATGTTTTTTTTTTTTTAAATAAAGACAGTTTTTCTTGACATGACATATTTAACTGTTAACAATGTAATGGCAAAACTTACTATTTATAATCTACATTGTTTACTATTACAACTATTAAATTCTTTTTAACATGTTTTATGAACATTCATTAATATTGCCATCTTAAGCTGACACAAACTCAAAATAGTGACTATATTTCCAGCTAGCAAACGCGCATCTCTCTCCCCCCCTCCATTGTTGTTTATGTTTGTGTCTGCTAGCCTACACGTGAACTGTCCTCATGCCGAAAACGTGACTTGTCGCATAGGCTACTTCACCCCCAGAGACGCAAGAAGAAAGCAAATATATTTTTATTAAGGAAAATGACAAATATAGTAACGCACAGTGACTTGGATAAGTAATTTTAATCTGATTACCGGTTTGGAAATAGTAACGCGTTAGATTACTTGTTACTGAAAAAAGTGGTCAGATTGGAGTAAGTAACGCATTACTGGCATCACTGCATGTAACTAACTGTACACTCCAGGTGCTTTTTATGTGAATAATTACCAGTTTCTACCTGAGATCAGGGTAAGAGTAATACTTTACTCATGAAAATACAGCGAAACAGATCACAAACAATCTGTTCTATTCTGTCTACCATTAGTCACATGTGCAAGGCAAAAAGTAATGCAATCATAGGGTGTCTTCTCTGTGAGACCTTGATTAAGGCCTTCTGTCTTTTGAAGGAATATCTCTTTCTTTTCTATCGTTAATCCCGGTAACATCTCTCAAACTATTCCTTTCACTCCTTGTGAGGGCCTCATCCTTCTCAGAAGATGCAATCTAAGCCTCGAGTCTCCTCACTTTTAAATTACTCCCAAAGGCCCAGCACTGACTTACATAACCCGGTTTTATCACGTTAACACTTCATGTGGGATAACAGCACTTGATAAAACACAAAGTGCTTTAATGGTGTGCCGTGAAGCTATTAAGGTCATTAAAGTCGCAGAAAAGATCCAGAACTACTCTGAACTTTCAACTAATTAAACACATTTAGATGATCTGCGTGAGTCTGTTTAGGGGTCATTAAGTTTGCTCACAGTGGGGTTGGGGAGGGGAGTAATTTAAATTAAGATTTGTGTCTGCTGCAGTATTACTTTTAAGATAAATAAAACTGCTTGTCTTCTTTTTTTCTTGTGTTTTACGAATATGCAAACCAATAAATAACAGCAGAGAGAGAGAGAGAGCCACAAGAGAACTACAATAGTCAAACCAAGTTTTTTTTAACATATTTATTGACCGAACATTTGCTACAAACTGTCGATATACGTACTTGTTTATAGGGCAGTGCAATTTTAGGCTGGCGAGTGGCACAAACAACCCACTTCACTGTCCTTTTGCCCCTTCTCTGCCTCACTGCAGAGAGACAGAGGCAAAGAGGTGGAGCGACAGAGAAAGGCAAGGGTGTTCAGATCAGGAGAGGGAGGGGGGCAGAGTTTTTGGAAACGGGGAAGTGAGCTGCACTGCAGCAACATGGGCGTTGGCTCAGCCCACGGATGAAGGCAGAAAAAGACAGAGGAGAGAGGGGAACACAATGAGAGGAGTAAACACAAAATGTCACTATAAAAGGAACCAGGAAATATGTGGCTGTTTCATAGACTATATATCCAACGAAGTGCTGACATTTTTCTTGCATGGCTTAAGTGAATTCTGGGTTGTGTCTGGCACTAAGGTCAAACTTAAGGGGACATTTAAAGACTGGATTTAACTACACATTTGAGGTACTTTCATTCTATGCTAAATATGTTCTACTTCACTTCATCTGGTAGTTAGTTACTCAGATTCCCAATGCAGAATTAGCTTATAGAACATGATTGTTATAGATAAAACTATGCAACAGGATATGATCAGTAATAATCAGGAATCAGTAATATTGATATGATAGCAAGGAATTGTTTAGCACTTTTACTTTTTAAACTAAGTACATTTAGCTCATAATAGTTTGAATTAACTAAAAATGTCAATGTCTCACTTTACTTGTAACAGAGTATTCTTAGTACTTTTACTTATATACAGGATCTGCAGTATTCCCTCCACCATTGGTTAGGTCTGCTAACATGGGTTTATGATAATTAAGGTTTACATTCGACCTGCTCAGATTAAATTTTGTTCTAAATTTTGAAAGATTTGAAGATACCAGGCTATAGGGAAAAAAATTAATTTATTTAACGTAATCATGACACAAAGGAAACTTCAGGTTAAACATCATTGCAATTACATACATATACAGATTATATATATATTTTATTTATACAGCAAAATATTACAGGAGAATCAGGGTAAAGCTGGTCATATGGTTTGGGGTTGGTAAAATAAATCTGAAGTAAATCAGATAAATGTGCTTTAATTAATTAATTAACAGATTTTTTTTCACTCCCTTGTTTTTAACTGCTGCCTGCTGCTTTCTTTTTTCTTTGCCTTGTGGGTTCATAAGGTTCACATGTGGTGTCTCTGCATGCTGTAAGTTTTATTTGTGAGATGTTAAGTTTGGTTTCTATGTCAGTATCATTAGTTAGTGTTTTATTAAGGTTGCAAACATCTACAACATGCTTTTGGACTTTGGTGCAGACACTGAAATAGTGAATCAGCTGGACTGCTGCTGTGTCATTGCTTTCCACTTTCACCTGTTGCAACAGCTCACCTATATCTATATAGGTTCAATGCGTACCAATTACTGGACTTCAGATAATGAAAATTAATTCTTCCTATGCTCACTGCTTTGACTGTGCAGTCAGTAAAGATCATCACCGGCGTATCCTGAATTCATATTCTGTGCTGTGCATGAGTGAGTGTATTAGTTAGGTCAAATGAGGACACATCCCAAGCACACACACACACACACACACACACACACACACACACACACAGACAGAGCAGGAAATTTTAGGCCTGCTATCATATTGTAATATATAAAGCCATAATGTGCAAGTAGCTCCCTTATCAACCAGCCCACCTTAAAAAAGGCAATATAATGTTTAATGCAATTTTTTTTACTGCCTCACTAGATTTGCCTACCTATGTCTTTCTCTCCTTTCCTCCGCTGCCATGCTGTCTCTATTTTCTGATTCTCTCTTTCTCCCCCGTAACTTCCTCTCAATCTTTCTTTATCCATTTACCCTGTTTTCCTTCGTCCTCCCTCTTTCTTTCTTTCTCTAGGCCAGGAAAATGTGCTGTGTCTGCAGGGAGGTTATTTGGTGCAGGAGACCAGAGGTAATTGATAATGGTGCTGCTTTTGCTATCAGGAGAGCTGTGTTTGCTTTAAAGGAAACGAGACAGAGACAGCAACACAGGGAATTGCAAGTTAGAAAGGGATAAAGAGGGAAAAAAAGTGTCAAAGGAAGACAACAAGCGAGAAAGACAGATATTGATGAAAGTCCGTGAGGATGACACATACTGTTTTTGACTTGTTTTGTTGCATTTTTTATGTCTAAGAGTTGTTTTTTTTGTCATATTCACCAGACTCCACTTCAGTTACTGCTTGCATGAAGTTAGACATTTTATAGGCCTATTTCACAAAGGAAGCACTGGCTCTAGATAGGTCCTTTTGTGTTTTTCACTAGTTTTTATGGTGAGTTTTTCTTTTTATATATATATATATTTAAATGTCAACAACTTAAAAACCAAGTATTAATACATTTTCAATAAATATATATAAGCACCGATGTGTGATCAGGCTGCAGCATCCTACAACTTTGGATGGGTTAAGCAGATTACTGAAATTAATTATCAGAATCAGTGAATTGCGGCGCTTGTGGAAGCTGGCATGCCTCTTATAAATAAACAGGACCACTATTGATTTTGTGTTTTATTTTATTTCCACTTTTTGTTGTTGTGTTTGTTTGGTTTTTCTTTCCTTGAATGTTTATACTGTTGAGGGTGGGGCAAGGGGGGTGTTCATAACGTTACTGTCCCTGTGACTGTATATTTTCTATGTGCAAAACAATAAATATATTGTTAAGATCAGAATCAGAAATACTTTATTAATCCCAGGGGGAAATTACTTCATTATAATAAATATACTTTCACAAGTTTTCACAAAAAATATACTTCCAATAGAAAATATGACTTTCTCACTGAGCGCATTGCAGTAGGTTTTGTGGTTCTCATAGTAGCACTAAATCAGAGTGGAAAAATTGGTTTGTAGCCCTACCATTGTCAGTCCTTAATTAAAACCTTGATGACAACATTTAAATTATTACAATAACACTCAAAGTGAGTGTTGTCATATCTGTAGTGTTTTTAGCACATTCAGTGTAATACAGGACTGAAACAGTGAATACATCACACTGCAGTGATGCCAAAAACGGGAAATCTGATATATAACATTTGATACAACTGTAAAACAAGGTAAATAAACTGTTCCACTTGTATATCTTGTCAGTATTTTGAAAATAACTCTCGCCTTGGTGATATTGTCACAGAAAACTTGCTTCAAGGAAAATAAGACTTTCAAATTCAGCACAACATAAAACAAAAAGAATAATTTCTTTTCTGTGTTGTTGATGCAGTCGTTTACAATTCAAGGTTTCCAGCAGTCGAGCCTAACTGCGTCAGACCTGCTTCACCACCGAGTCTGCTTCTGAAATATTGATGAGATCTCCCAGGCTAAACCCAGGCTTGTTGTGGCCTCAGGTTAGAATTGAAATTAAAATGTTAGATCCACTATGGTATAATATACTTACTGAAAGCATAAACTGTACTGCATCTACTGTATACACTAGCACACAGTACACAAGCTTGTGTGTTAAATGGGTACAATGACACAAACAAAAGACACAAACTTATACATTATATTGATTTTCATTCAATCACTGGAGGCTCAAATATAGTCAGTCTTGACTCATATTTCATATTTCATGACTTTCATATTTCTGAAGCCTTTTATTATAATATTTTTCTATATTTTATAGGCAGTGAGTTCACCTCAAAGGCATTCTGGTTGAAACTTCTCTTCGTCTCTGAAGAGTTAATTCTGAGAAAACAACAACATGTAGGAGGGACAAAAATAACAAAGCTGTACAAAAGAAGAAAGGGTTTCGGGAAGAAACTTCATGCCCGTCGTGCACAGGGGGACATTTGCCACACCCAAAATGCAAAACACCACGCCACCTCGCCCTTCTCTCCCTCTTCAGAGGAAATAAGATATGCTGATGAAGTTGGCAGGGCTCTCATGGCTGAAGACGAAGCATTTTGGCACTTCTGAGACATCAGAGTGAGTCGGGCAACCCGGGGGGGAAGCCTGAGATATTTCATCCCTGTCAGTCTTTGGTGTTTTAACTGCGCTTGCGACCTTATTGACAATGTTCTCAAAAATGTGTGATGTATCTCTGCTTGGGTTGTCCAAATCTTCTGTGTCTCTGATATTAAATCCCACTTTTTTTGAATTTTAGAAGGCCAACATTGAGTTCTGTTTATGTTTGTGAGAACTCGTACATCTAGGAATGAGTTTTCTGAACTGTAATTAGCCAACAGTCTGCTATCTGACTGGTTTTCTGCCATCCGGTTCATTTCAAGCCACTCGCTGCACTGCTGTAAGCCAAAAATGAAGAGTCAATAAATGGATGGTGGTAAGTAAATAAATAAATGGATGAAAAGTGGATTGAATAACTTGTAACCATGCTGTATAATAAAAATGTTCCTGGACTGAATTTTATTTCTGTATCAATCAAATATTTGATTTATTTGGTCTATGAAGCACTTTCTTATATAGCTATTGCATGCAAGTTTTATTGCAAAGTTTATATTTTGGGGTTCGGTTAAAATGTTTTTTTAATCATGGTAGGTCTCAGGGTAGGAAAGTGTTTTCTCGAATGCGTGCCGACTCTACACACGCACATCTTGCTGGTGTGTGGCAGTTTTCTACAGCCTGTGTCTGTCTCATGAAATATGCAGAGTAAAGCTCAGTCATTGCCATTCAGCAGTGAGGGTGGCGTGACTTTTAGTTACATGACCCAAACCAAAGAGACAGCTTACTCAACCGTGATACTACACTTACTCTGTTCAGCCTGACAGCCTTACAGCACAGTTTGTAGCATGAAGTGGGAGGTTGGAAGATTATATAGAGGAAGAAGAAAAACTACAGCGTCATGCTTTGCATTCTCTCAAATTACATGAATATGCCAATATGCGACAGTGTGTGAGTGCAGACATTTCTGCAAGGGTTATCTTTGATGGAATCATCCCTAATGTTGGGAGTATATGCCAAACAGTGCCACTTAACATACTGTACATTACTACAATTATTTAGTTATGTTTTATTATAGATTATGCATCATACTAAGAGATAGTACTGGCATATCTATACTATATTTTCTGCCTTTTGATCTGCCAAAGATCAAAGATGGGCATTATTTTGTGACAACATTCTGCCTTTGAGGTGAGATTAGTGCAAACAAATTTTTCCAATTGTTTTCCCCAAATCAAGTGATACTAATCAGCCCTGGCTTATAAAGGAGGCAGTGTTTCTAATCATATTTCCAATCATATTTTTGTTGTAGAGATCCCAGAAGGGCTTCATTCTGAATAAAAAATGATGCACCAACTTCAAGGATTTTCATGTAGGAGTAAAGCTGAGGCACAAAGCTGATGTAAGGCTCCAACAACCATGAGTCATCTCCATTAGGGAAGCACCCTCACTCCATCCCTGCCTTCTTCCCTCCATCCACCATCCCTCTTTTCCATTAATGCGTCTCCCCTCTGCATCTCATGATCTCATGAGCAGACAGTAGCTATAGTAAGTTCTGCATTAACAAGCAAAAATATTTTCGTGTATAATGTAGTATTATTGAAGAGCAGACCTCAGGAAGTTGGTCAGAGGGGCTGCATATTTATTTCTTTGCAAAGCACTGGGTGCTTAATGCGAAAAATGTAATACCCAAAATGTAAGTTTGCAATTTTCTGAGCGGCTATTAGTAGTATACTTACAGGTTTTATAAGTAGGTTGAGACTGTGTTCATTTATAGGCAATATGAGCAGAGATGGTTCTGAGAGAGATTCATAAAAAGAAGTAGGAAAGAGTAAAAGAGAGAAGCATATAGTGCACAGGAAGAAAGTAATGGAGACAAAAGAAGAAAGACAGAGAGGAACTTTTCTACTTCATCACTGGCTTTTTAGCACAGTCGCCATGGGAAAAGCTGTCAGTCACTGGCATTAAACACACACACACACACACACACACACACACACACACACACACACACACACACACACACACACACACACACACACACACACACACACACACACACACAACCCTTTGTACATCTGCAGTTGTGAGGATGCTCACTGTCATAATACATGCCCTGTATCCCCAACTTTAACCATTAACTCTAACCCTAAAGCCAAGTCTTAGCCCTCAATCAGCCCTTTGAAGAGCCAAGATTGAAAAGACTAGATTGAAACCTATATGGCTGGACTGTGTGTGCAATGGTGGCGCCAGAAATGTTCTTTTGATGGTGCTATGGGATTGCTCGACTTTTCAGTGCTCTGAAATTTAGGATTTAATGTGACAGTTGCCAAATCATGCCCAAAATTCAATTTCTGCTACAAATCCCCTTACACACATGCGCACATGCACATGCTGTACCAAGAGCTCTGCATCAGTTAAAGTGTCTTTAGAGTTAAACACATGGCAAGATATTCAGCTCAAGGGATATAGCCTACATACATAAACACACCTCTGAATAAATGTTCACACAGTTATGCCATGGACAGTGCTTGCACACAGAAAGTGCACACAGATTCTGACTAATAAATCAACAGTACTCAGTACCATAGACCTATATTATACACTGATCAGCCATAACATTATGACCACCTGGGCACCCTGACTGGTCTGCAGCCATGTAGCAACATACACAACAAACTGTGATGCACCGTGTGTTCTGACACCTTTCTATCAGAACCAGCATTAACTTTTTCAGCAGTTTGAGCTACAGTAGCTCGTCTGTTGGATCGGACCACACCAGCCAGTCTTCGCTCCCCACGTGCATCAATGAGCCTTGGCCACCCATGACCCTGTCTCTGGTTCACTGCTTTGGACCACTTTTGATAGGTATGACCACTGCAGACTAGGATCACCCCACAAGAGCTGCAGTTTTGTAGATACTCTGACCGAGTCGTATAGCCATCACAATTTGGCCCTTGTCAAAGTCGCTCAAAATGAAGTCGTTCAAATTAGAAAAATATAAATAAGCCACAGTAATTTCTTGGGGGTGCGAGGGGGTGCTGTGGCAATCCTAGGGGTAGCTATAGCACCCCCAATCCCCTCCCTGGGGCTGCCTACACGTGTATGGTCAATCTGCTAAATTGTGACCAAATTATTAAAGGTATAATCAGCGGTAATGTGGATTTAACCACAGCAGAAGCAGAGGTCTTTAGTCTTCAGATGGTTGTATCTAAGACCAGCAGTATTTGGTTTTTAGCAGAATAGATTTAGAATGAGTGGCAGTCAATGAGTAGAACATATTAGATGCATCCCAATGATTTAATTGAGGACTGTTTGCCCCCATTCATTTGGAAAGAACAATGGCCAATGGGGTAGTTCTCAGAGGTAAAGATGCAGGTTGCAGTCATTTGAATACAGCTCAACCTTCCAAGCGTGTAGGATAAACTACAGTGACCATGAAGCTTGCAAAAAATGCAAAAGACCTAGGTCCAGTGTTTGGTTTGTCTGTTCTGGGCTACTGTAGAAACTTGGCCATTCAACATTCTAAGGTAAGGTAACACAAATGCAAAAATGCAAACAATTCTTATTGCGAGGTGATTATGCACTAATGATAACATACCAATGAATATTATATTCCATTTCTGCCAATAGATCCTCCAAAACTGTTACACACTTGACCTTTAAGAAAAGTCATGATCTTTTCCTACCCTTAACCAAAGTGCTTTTGATACAGGGGTCTGGACACAAACCCTGGGGTGTGGTGTGATAGTCTGGCACTTTCTACCACCCCCACCTACCCCAGACAACTCCTTGTGACTTCACTGTGTTACATAAATGTAGAGTTTAAAAAAAACGTTGTCTCTGAATATAATCCAGGCAGGTATTACGTTCTTACCACAAGTCATTTTTACGAGTCAGGATTGCTTACAGTGTATGTCTCATATGCAATGGTCGAGATGACACACAAGCACACATACAAATCTTTTTGGAGGCAGTCACACTGACTTGAAGGATTACATACTGTCTCTGAATACTAAGTGGTACTTAGTAGGATTGGCTACAGGCGCCGCACACTGGTGCCGTGCTCCTGAACCTATTACTGTCTGTAAATAAATGTACCCTCATTCACCTCAAGCCATTCTCTAATTCACACTTTATTCACAAGTTTAATCCTAAAGTCCTGGACAATTCTACTGATGGTTGTGGAGCAAAGAAACACTGACCAACACAAGGTCTCTCCAACATTTAGACCAAGTTTTTTTTTTTCCACCATAGATCATTGGCCATAATTCTTACTATAACAGTTAAAGCACTCAAATAATGGCATACTATAAATAATAAAAAAAAAAAAAAAAACAACTCAACAGGTTGATTAAACACAGGAAGGGACATTGTAGAGGTTCAAGCACTACCGTAGGCTTAAATATTGTATTCTCTCTGAGTATGGTCGTATGTCCGCAGTGATAAACACTCCTAATAGCAGAGGGTGCTTAAATGCTGTTGGCAGAATGACTCATGAATAGTAGACATAAATAAGCTATTCTGGCAGTCATTGTTTTGGTCACAGGGTGTTCAGGATGGATACACGTACCATTACACCCCTATATTATATGATAGTTTAGGCTGTTGAAACAGTTACAATGAACCTAAAAATGACTCAACAGCCTTTAGTTTTGAACCAGGGTTAGTTCCGTTTTTATCAAACATTTTTGCACTTGCATATTACCCCCCTTTCCAACTGCACTGAATGGTTGAGTGCACGAAGTATCTGACTTTGACTCCAGAGATCGCAGTTTCCATCCTGTGTCCTACCAACAGTGATTCCTTTTAACGGTGACCATAATCAGTACCTAATTCTAATCATTTTTTTCTTCTTTTGCCTAAATGTTAACCATGATGGTGGCAGATCCTAAAACGGTCCTTTGAGTAGTTTGGAAGGTCATGACGAATTAACATGACATTGATGCATGCAGACTTGTTGAGTGCAACAGTTCGAAAATAGACAGATCCCTGCCGTCCCCTTCACTGCAACAATGTTTTATTCATGCTGCAGCAACAGATACAGTTACGTAATGAGTTTCGAATGGATAGTTAGCATCCCCACCATGCACACGCACCAACACCCACCTTTCCAAACCTCAATGCCTTTGCTCTTTTTTTTACTCTCTCTCTCTCTCTTTTACTTGTTTTCACCTCCCTTCTCTCTCCCTCCCTCCCTCATTCAGCTATATCATGATTCTGCAGCTCAACCTCTGCAGCATGACTCCACTTTCCTCTCTGCGCCTCCGTCTGCCTCTCCAGCAGCTCTTTGACAAGTCTAAGAGAAATACTGGAATGGCTTAAAATAACTGCAGGCAGACCTATAGTACACACACACACACACACACACACACACACACACACACTCCCTCATTCTCGATCTCTCATACACAGATGCCCTCATATACCATGGTGTTTTTACAAACAACGCCACACTTGCATATTAAGTGTTACTTTTAGTGCCACAGACAATTTAATTCT